AAGAATAAACTAGTTTTATTTAAGAAAGGACTTGTATCGCTAAAGTTTCTTCTGAAAGCATTTTTACAGAAAATTAACAAACGAACACAGAGGCATAACAATATATTTAGATACGAGTCTTGGATGTGTAGGTGGACACAGTTTTTATGATAATATACAGGGTTAGGGTTTGGGTTGTGCAAACAAGGCTCTATATGTTCATGCAACCATCATCTCTAAGTCTATTAGAGTTAATTGGTTAATGGTCTACTAAATTAATTGCTGTTTGGATAGTAGATATAAGCTTAGAATCACTTGCACTACAGCTGAAGATGGCGAGGAAGCAACATGCAAGGATTTCAGAAGCAGCATGATCTAATACATCATCTGAAAAAGAAAGGCATTTAATAGTAATGCCACCACCAACGTTAATTACAATATATATATATATATGTTTGTGACTATCACAGCTTTATCTGTAAAGGTAATTACAAGGTAAGGCTTATTCCTTTGTAAATGCTTAATTAATGTAAAACTAAAAGGGCTTAGAAGTTGGATAGTCTTGTTAAGTGTGCTAATCTGTGAGAAATTAATTTCAATACTAAAAATTTGAAGTGGTACATATAAAGTATGGAAATTTTTAAAGACCGTATGTTTTGTGTGTGATAAATATTAATGATGTGGAAAGTGAGAATAATTTGTGTATGGTGATTGATAAAAGCTTTAAGTCTTCAACTAAATGTTCCAAAGTGGTGAAAACTCAAATGGGTTTTTGGGATCTGTCCACGAAACTTTTTAGTTGAAGAGTAGGGAGGTTATCATCGTACAAGACTTTCGTAAGGCATTTGGAGTATTGTGTTCAATTGTGATCTTCTGTTTCATAGAAAAATGTTGATTTACAAGAAAAAATTCAGAGAAAGGCTACAAAATCATTCCTGGTTTGAATCATTTAAACTATAAAGAGTGACTCAAAGATTTGAACTTGTTTTCTATGAAGCATGAGAACTGGTGTTAAATCTAATATGTTACAGTATATTCTTTTTTTCCACCACTGTGTGGATTCTTCTTTCATAGATAATTGGTGATCTTAATAGAGCACATAAGCAGTACTTTCTCATCATAATTAAATTTTTTTTGGCAATCATGCTTCACTCACTGTGAATTCTGATATTAAAATTAATTACTAGTATATGAGTTTCTACCAATATCAGAAAATTTTGTAACATCTTTGAATACCTTATTCATGTTGTCTGCCTCTTTCATACAAGGAGGAGATCTTGTGGTGACATAGTTGGCTCTTCTTGATTAATGTTCAGGCCATATATTTTTGAATTGTTTATTGGCATATATGGAGAGTTTCACATTCATGCGAATGATCATTTATGGGACCCTTGTTCTTTTCCATGATGATATGAGAGAGAGAGAAAAGTGATCTTATCCTCAGGCCTATTCAACTTCATTGTTGAAGAGCAGGAATCATCAGGTAGCTCTAACACTGAAGAAACTTTCACTCATCAAATTTTTCTTTTTTTCTTAGGTATGTTCATATTTTCATTTCTGTACAGTTGTGTAGAGTTTTGTCTGTAAACAAAATACTCCCATTTTTGATTTGTTTTAGAACTTCTCTGCCCATCACAAAAGAATAACTTTATTTTTGCTAAGAACCTATTTCTCCTTAAGAATATATTATCCATTTCCGGATTTTCATAAGTTTCTCTTAGCTTTTGTACAGGCCATGTTGAAACATTTTTATGATGCTTTGAAAACAGCTATGAAATAAAAAGTTTAAGTGTGATGGACAGAACAAGAATTATACAATGATATCATAGTAGAATAAATATATAGGCTTAAGAGTGTTCTTTTGTAGTTTCTGTAAATGTTCCTTTGTGAATTGTGGAAAATATTCATTGTGTTAGATTATATCTGTAGGAAAACTACAGAAATTTTCTTCATTGAGAAGACATCAGATAACTTGACACAAAGTAAGCCTATACAATTTTGAGATGGGTTGAATGGGTAACAAAGAAATATTTTCTACACGATTAACTCAGTAATAAATCTACAATGTTTGGATAATCTTTTGTCATCATGAGGTACAAGTAGTGTTCCTAGACATGGAAATGAACATACAGTAGGAAACAAATAATTCATATGACTGGAGATTGTTTAACGCTTAATAAAGGTACCTATTTATGTTTGATTCTTTGTCTAAAATTACAATTTTTACTTTTTTAATAGATATATAGTTTTATTAGATGCATTGTATACAAACATGAGGCTTCTTTTTATTATGTTCAAATGAACTCAAATCATCGTGAAATAACAATATGTTTATGTTTTGTTAAGTTTATTGATGACTCAGATCTTTATTGAATATTATTTTTTATCTATCTTTTATTTGAACAATAAATTGGCTCACAGGCTACTTAATTATTTCTAAGTGTAATTAGTATATGTAATTAAGCACAAAGCTACACAATGGGCTATCTGTGCTCTGCCCACCCAGATTCTAGCATTGCAAGTCTGCCGACATGCTGCTGTGCCACTGAGGGTCAGGTTAGAGGTAAAAAGGAAATACATTATCACCCTTTTTGGTTATAATAAAAATATGTTTTCATTATTTAATTATCAGTTTATTTGAGTTATAGAAGATTGATGTGGGATTACTGCATATTGTTACGACAGTGGGGGGGTCACGAGACGAGTATTCTAGAAGATTCGCTAGTGTGCTATGACAGCGGGGTCACGTGACAAATATTCTAGAAGATTCGCTAGTGTGTTACGACAGCGGGGTCACGTGACGAATATTCTAGAAGATTCGCTAGTGTGTTGCGACAGCGGGAGTCAATTGACGCTGGTAGCACGTGCTGAGAGTCTTAGAAGTTTCTAGAACAGGCAGTATTATCGTATATAAATGCGCTAGACACTGAGAGAGAGACAGACGGAGTCGATGCAGTAGTGGAAACAGACGAAGCAGTAGACGGAGTCGAAGCAGTAGTGGAGACAGACGAAGCAGTAGACGGAGTCGTAGCAATAGTGGAGACAAAGACAGAGACGTAGCGGAGACGAAGCAGGCAGAGAGAAAGAAATACAGCGGTTACGGTCGGCGGGAACTGAGGATAGCAGACACAGAGATCGAAACTATAGTTTGCGGGGACGGACAATTAAGTCTTAGCGTGATAGAAAGTGAGTGAATTGTTGTGAACTATAGTGTGTGTAACTGTGAAAATTAAGTACATTACAAAGTTGTATTGAGGAAGAATAAACAAGTTTTATAAAGAAAGGACTTGTATCTTAGAGGAATTAACAAACAAACATACAAAGACGAAACAAATTGGTGTCAGAAGTGGGATGAAAAAAAATGGAAACGAGAGGCAGAAAATCAAACTACAGCTTGGCAGCAATACAACAGCAGCAAAAGAAACAAGAAGAACGAGAAAATGAACGAGAAAAGAAACAAGAAGAGAGACAACAGCAGTTGCAAGAAAACCTGCAACAGTGGCAGCTCGAACAACAAAATAAACAAGAAGAGAGCTTACAGCAGTTGTTGGAGGAAAAAGAAAATAAACAAGACGAACGAGAAAAGAAAGAAGAAAGACTACAGCAGTGGCAAGAAAATCTGCAACAGTGGCAGCTCGAACAACAAAATAAACAGGAAGAAAGTTTCCAACAGTTGCAGGAAAGTCAGCAGCAACTACAGGAAAGTCAACAATAGTGGAAAGAAGTAC